GCTCTGGCCCAGCTCACACCAGGACACCTTGCCAATACCTTTTTCAATGGTCACCGTGACATGCATCAGCAGCACAGGACACTGGAGATTTAAGAGAATAGTATCACAAAAAATGATAAAGCAGTGTTAGTCATTGACCATCAAAAGACACTAAGAATATTTACTATTTATCCCTTGGAGAAAACAGAAAACATGGCCAGACCTTGAAAAGGGACTGAAGTGTCTCCTGCTCTTCACAGCTCAGCCTGGGTTGCCACAGCCCATCCTGGGCATGAGACCCCATGGGCACAGGCACATGAATGTGCAAGAGGTTGGTGATGTTCTTAAGTATTGGTTAAAAAAAAATCTATGGAAACTTCTCCCACCTTGGAGATTGTGTCCATCGGATTCATCTTGGGCCGGTTTTTAAGCAGATGCTGACCACAATCTTTTCTGCTGCAGCCTCATGTCTGGCCTGGCCACCATGGACTCCAAGGCCTGTGGGAAGATGGGTGTGATCACCATCACCTACTACCTTTGGACAACCTTCATGGCAGTGACTGTCGGGATCATCCTCGTGGTCAGCATCCACCCTGGGGCAGCTGCCCAGAAGGACAACTACGCTGTGGGGAAAGTGGTGCTCAGCTCCGCTGATGCGTTACTGGATTTAATCAGGTACGTCACAGATTTCAGGAGGAGCCAAGTTTATGATGGTGTTTCACAGACAAGATCTTCCCATAAGGCATCGAGTTCCTGTGATATATTGACATCTTAAGGGAAATGGGAGAACCATTGGCCACGCTGACCAGGCACTGGTACCTCCGAGCCTAGCGACGTGTGGTTCATTTCTCCCCACACATGTCCCTCTGGCCACTCTGTCACCACCCTTGCTCTCCTCCCAGAACCACTAAGTAAGGAGAGGTGTAGCAGCAGAGAACAGGAAGATTTAAATTCCCTGCAAAGCTCAGCACTTCTCCCTCTACAGCCCCAGCTGTGACATCTCAAACCCTGCAGCTCCCTGGGCTTTGCAAGGTAAAAATGAGCAGGAGTTGGCCCAAGGCTGGACTCCAGCAGCAGATGAGGGTTAACTGGGGAAGGGGCTGCAGCACGGACCCAGGGGCTGGGGGAGAATCTCCATTTCTGGAGGCATCTGAGCAACTGGACAAGGCTCTGAGCATCCTACTCCAGCTTTGCAGGCAGTCCTGCTCTGAGCCTGGGGTTGGAGATGGCAGATGTCCATCCCAGACTCTGGGTTTCCATGAGTCCAGTTTACATCTGGTTCACAGTCCTGCTCATTGTTCACTTTCCAGCCTGTCTTTGCCCTCAGCTTGCACAGAGGACATCAAGCTTGTGTTAATCACAGAATCATAAACGGTTGTGAGCTGGAAGGGACCCACAAGGATCATCGACTCCAACTCCTGTCCCTGCACAGGACAATCCCAACATTCACACCATGTCCCTGAGGACCTTGGCCAAATGCTGCTGGAATCTTGTCAGGCTTGGTGCCATGAGCACCTCCCTGGGGAGCCTGTTCCAGTGCTCCACCACCCTCTGCCTCAAGAACCTTTTCCTCATGGCCAACCTCACCCTCCCCTGCCACATCTTCCTGCCATTTCCTCTGCTCCTGGCATTCGTTGGTGGCCAGAGAGAAGAGATCAGCACCTGCCCCTCCTCGGACATTCTAGACCATGATGAGATCTCCTCTCAGTCTCCTCTTCTCCAGGAGACTGAGAGGTGTTGGCTGTAATGATCCTCCTCTTGGCCTCGTGCCCACCAGAGGTGCTTCTCAAGTGTTTTATGATGTGCTTTAACCCCATCCCATTGCTCTCTTACAGAAACATGTTTCCGTCTAATCTCATTGAAGCTTCGTTCCAGCAGGTGAGTTCACCCGGCCTCACTGCCGCAGGGTCTGCTCAGCTCCAGACAGGGCTGCTCAGCTCCAGACAGGGCTGCTCTCCCTCTCTGGGGACTCTTCCCCTCCCACACCCTGGACATGAGCCCCTCCCCTCTGCCTCCCTCCCCACCTTGCCTGCTCCCCAGCTGCTGTCTGCTCACCCCAGAGTGGGCACCCAAGGGTGGGAGGGTGTTGTGGTGGCACAGACTCCCAGGGACACCCCTGCCTGCCCTCTGCCTGGGAGGGCTCCTGGGCAAAAGCCACACATCTCCTCCCTCAGACCCCGCTCCCGAGGTGGCTTCTCAGTCCCTGTGGATGGGGGAGCAGCAGCAGAGGGGTGGGCAGGCAGCAGCATGGGCGGGGGGAAAGCTTGAAGGGAAGATTGGGGTGAATGAAAGGGAGAGGCCAAGGAGAAGCCAGGTAGGGTGGAAGGGAAAAGGGCAAATCGAATGAGCAACTCATGGCATTGGGAAAGCATCTGTGAAGCCCCCAGAAGGAAAGGGCTGGGGGGTGAAGGCGTCTCACCGTGGGGACCAAAATGCTCTCCCAGTGCTGCACCAGCATCCTGTGGGACCTGCCTCACCAATGCTGTGTCTGCCCAGAGAAGCACAGCCTCGCTGGACGATGGCTGTGCTGAGCTCTGCAGGGAACAACCACAGTTCCCCTTGCCCATTTCTTGCTTATTTTCATCAGCCTTTTACTGCCTAAAAACAAACTCTGAACTTCCAGGACCACCTGGCCCAGTGATGGCTTTGCCTCTGTGTCCAGAGCAGGATGGAGCCTATTGCCAACAGGACCCTAACCTCACTGCTTTGCTTTTGTTCCAGTATCGAAGTGTTCTTGTCCCAGTGGTGAAATCTCCTGGCTTTCCAAAGATCAGAGGGAAATCTCTCAGTTTTATTTACTTTGCACCCGATGATGAAAACCCTGAAATTCATCGTCCTGTGTTCCTTGAGCTGACACCATCACCTGAGATGACCTACAGGACCCTGCCTGGGACCAGCAACGAGATGAACGTCTTGGGAATCGTCATCTTCTCAGCAACAATAGGTACCTGCTCAATAGAGAACGGTGCTCTGTGCCGCTCCCTGACCCAGCTTACAAGGCTGCTCAGTGGCAGCTGCATCCCAGGGTGGTAACTGCTGTGGCCATGGTGTGTAAATTCAGTAGGGATGCTCAGAGGGACAAGGTTTTTTTAGCTCTAGCTGCTCCAGCCCCTGGGGAACCAGGCACGGTACGGAGCTTGTACCAACATCTTAATCAGTATTGCCCATAATGGAGCTCAAAAAATGTGCTGGGCACTGAGAGAGCTGTTCTCTCCCCAGATTATCCATATGAGCCCAAGCACGGGTCCTGAGGACTTTCAAATGGTCATGGAAGCTGGAGGGTCCTTTTTATAAAGTCTACTGATATGAGCTGTACCTTTTGCAGAGGCTGCCCTGGACCCAGCTCATTCACCTGGCAGTGTTCACACTCTCTGAGCAGGCGGCAGGAGAAAGCTGGGTCAGGCTTAGGGCCTGTCACAAAGGTACAGAAATTTATACCAGGACTTTCTGAAGAAGCAAAGCAAGATTCCTGCGTTGAGAACAGCTTGAAACCCTGAGTGGACAAGGTGCTCAGCAGCAATTTCAGGAAGGAAGAAGCAGCAGAGGTTGGATAGAGAGAACATGTGCAAGGGATAAGGAGGAAAGAGGTTTAAAGGGCAGAAAGTCATGGGAAGGAGGAACTTGGAGCTGACTCAAAGCACAAGACTTCAGAAGGCCACGGTGCAAGGCTGAGTGAGAAAAGGAGAAAGAGACAAATGAGGTGGGAAGAGTAGGAGGTGACAAGATGAGCATGGGGACAGGATTATATGTCAGTTAAGAGGTGAGGGCAAGGAGCTTTAAATTAGTGTATAAGGAACCAAAAAGCCAATTAGAGGATTTGAGGGGTGGAGGCAGCACAGCCAGCACAGTCACCACACCTCCACACACCAGGCTGAGGAGCGGTCAGTTTTAAAGGCTACGATGCAGCAAGCGCCTGGAGGAAACGGCCACAGTGAGACCGGGCAGAGACAGACCCACTTAAAGATCCTTACAGACAAAAGAGTTGTCTATGGCAGACTCCTGTCCCAAGTGACCAACACCATTTGCAGACCACAGGCGCTCAGGGAATGTGCCAAGCTCCTGCTCCCAGGACACGTGCCCTCCTCCAGCCCAGCCAAACAAGCGAGGAGAAGCTGCTTTTCTCTTCTGAGATTACCACCCCACCACCCTGCCAGCGTGGGAGTGAGGATCAGTGCTGAGTTAGGACACACCAGGAGATCATCTGAGCCAGCCCCAGCCACCCCACTGCACTCCCCAGGATGGATTAGAACTCCACGAAGCTGCAGATCAGCAGGGCACCACCTGCACTGGGGACGGGCAGCTTGGAAAAGGTTGTTCACACATCTGCAGGGAGCTTTACCTGTGAGGAGAGGTGGAATTAATGGGGTTTGCCTGGCAGAAAACAGGAGAGGGACAGGGAAGGCCAGGCAATACAGCTCTGCACTGTGAGAAACGGGGATCAGCTCCTCCCTGCAGCAAGGCAGGAGAGGCCAGGTGGAAGCTGGTTGAGATCTCAGCACAAAAGTGTATTTGTGTCCAATACCAAAATGAGTCAGTTTGTGGGACTGAGACCGAGGTCTCCATGCAGCACCCGCTGGCCACCTGGAGTGGTTTTGCTGTGGATGGTAACCCCACACAGCTACCACAGCTCCAGAGATCTCTTCACTGACACCAAGTATCTCCAGTCGTCTCTGTTGCTTTTGAAATCCAGAAAAGGGCAAAGATCTAACTCAAAGCTGTCCATTTGCTAGGGCGATCTTTTCCATATCAGCTGTCTGTAGGACCTGAAGAGAAATGGATTTCTTTCAAACCAGCTGTCATGGCCATCAAACACAGGATGAATATCTAGAACATAGATTTAAGTATGTCAAGCCTTGTCTCATTTCTGAAAGTCCTGGCAAAGATGACCCTATCTCATCTTTCTTCTGAGCAAGCCAAGAAATCCAACTACCTGCCAAAGGCCTCTAAGAGTCCTCAGCCCTGCAGACTGAAGAGGACAAGATAAGATCCTGACTATATTCTTCTTTTCCAAGCTAAAGCAGACATTTATACAGTGCTTCAGAAGTCATTTTAGCTAATGGGACCACACAGAAAGTACATGCACCAGGCTGGAAACGAGATGGGCAAATACTCAAAGACTCATTTTCCTTTTGCTCAATGGGAACCTGGGAAACCTCCTCCCCAGTGAAAGCACTAGGATTTAGCACTAGCTAATTTCATGCTGGCAGACCAGAAAGCACCATAACCCCCCTAACCATTCTGTATTTCTGCTCTAGTATTCCTTCAACAGAAAATGAGATTGGAATTAGGTTAATACAATGTCATCAAAAGAAAAAACAGAATTAAGCAGGAGGTGTAATGCCTGTATCTAAGTAACTCAGTTGGATCCTGCCTCCATATTACTGTAGATCTGCATGTGTTGTCACCACCACGGTACAGTCTGTGAGCCACCAATAAAGCCGCCTGTGTGAAACAGCTGGTCAGCACAGCCCATCCCACGAGGGAACTGAGAACTGACACTGTCCACAGGGACTGGCCAAATATGAGCAGTTCTGAAGCTCATCCAAGTGGCAGATGTGGTGTGCAGCTCTTTTCACCCCAGAGCAAGGGCAGGCGTGCAATGTATCATCACATCCCCAGCTATATATAACCCCACTGAGCTGTCCTTTAAAACAAAATCAATTTTTGCTTCCAGAGCTACTTTATTCTTGTATTACCAAATAGCAAAAAGACAGCTCATCCACCTTGAGAAGTGACTCTTCCAGTATTGAGCAGCAGTGGAAAGTTTATAAGTTATCTGTGCAAGGAATAGTCCAAATCCTGAATTTGGGTTTGGTGGGGTTTTTTTGAGAAAAGGCCAGATGCTTGTATTTGCTTGGAGCAGAGAATTGCTGTGACCCGTAGGAGCATGTGGAAATTTGTATTAAGTCTGATCTGCTGTGAGTTTGCCCAGTGAACCCCAATTTGTGACCCCCAGAACCTCAACACTCATCATAACACATGCTTCTCCTGTGGTACCATTGAGTAACATAAACCGATGTGCTTGGTTGCAGGACTTCTCCTGGGAAAAATGGGTGAGCGAGGAACTCCGCTGGTTAACGTGTGCCAGTGTCTGAATGAAGCAGTTATGAAAATTGTCTCCATGGCAGTTTGGTAAATCTGGTTTTGATTGATTCTATTATTTTCTTACCTCTTATCTAATTGTAATGCCAGTCATAGGTCTACAAGTATCTACTGTAAGCACTGGATTTATTTTCGTACGACTGTACCACATGGTATCAAATACTGTAATGACTGTTGTGTAGTGTTTCAGTGATTGCTGCATCCTCATAAATAATTTTTTTATGCTTATTCATTGCAGGTACTTCCCATTTGGCATTGTATTTCTCATCGCTGGAAAGATCCTGGAGATGGAAGACCCATCAGTTATAGGCCAGAAGCTGGGACTGTATGCCATTACAGTATTGTCAGGGCTCATCATCCACGGACTCATTCTCTTACCTTTGCTTTTTGTGCTCATCACCAAGAAAAACCCCTTTGCTTTCATGCAAGGGATACTGCAAGCCTTGCTGATCGCCTTGGCTACATCTTCCAGGTATGAAAACATGTCTGGAATATGCTGACACAGCTGAGAATCCATCTGGGTTAGTCAAGGGAGATGTGGCTGTGTGGATGGCCAGGCGAGCTGTGGGGAAACAGGTATCATTCAGACAAAGAAAAATTATGCTCCATCACTATTTGAAATGAGGTCGTTTCCAGTTTTAGTAGGAA